AAAAAAAAAAAAAAAAAAAAAAAAAAAGTTTAAAAAGTTAAGATCTGTTATCACCCATCACGCAACAAAAGGTTAATTTGGACCAGAGAGGCAATAAATTCTCCAATCAACTATTTGGATTTACCTATCTAGAAGAGAAATAAAAAGTAGGACAAGAAGCCAGGAGTATTTAGCAGAAAAAAAAAAAATCTCTCCTCTTGAAGAATAGATGAGTGGGGGAAGATGCATTCTCCACTAACATTCACAAGCTTTTTCTTTGGTTAATTCAGTGAATCTGGCTGGTTGTAACCCTCTGAAACCCATAGTTTACTGGTAGTCTTGCCTGCATCTTTTTTTTTTTTTTAAGATTTTATTTATTTATTTGACAGAGATCACAAGTAGGCAGAGAGGCAGGCAGAGAGAGATGGGGGAAGCAGGCTCACTGCCGTGCAGAGAGCTCGAAGCGATGCGGGGCTCGATCCCAGGACCCCGAGATCACGACCTGAGCAGAAGGCAGAGGCTTAACCCACTGAGCTACCCAGGTGCCCCTTGCCTGCATCTTGTTGAGACCAGTGCCTCCATACTAACTCTTGCTACCTAGGACATTCTTTTGTTTTGTTTTGTTTTTGTTTTTAAAGATTTTTTATGAGAAAGAGAGGGAGGGAGATAGTTGAGAGAGAACATGAATTGGGGGGTGGGGAGAGGAAGAGGGAGAAGCAGACTCCCCAGGATCATGACCTGAGCCAAAGGCAAACACTTAACTGACCGAGCCACCCAGGCACCCCCAGGACATCCTTTTGAATTGCTAATGGATAGGTATAATTTGTCTCCAGAAGTCTCTGAAATGGGTCATTAATAGCACATTAGTAAAACTAACCCCAAGTGCCAACAATTCAGTGACAAAGATTCTTTGACCAAACTTTAGACTCCTGAACCTTCTAGACCTGTGTACTTGTTTATAAACTCAAGATTTAATAAGAATCCTCAGTTTAACTAGAACCCTCTACCCTTAATACATGTTCACCCCTGGTATCTGATCAGGTTCCTCATCCTCCACCATCTCCCAGGTGCTGTGTGATCATGCGGCCTGCTTTCAGCAGGAATCCTGTTTGGTTGATTTAGCCAGAACACCCTTACCCCTGGTGTTTCCTCTTAGAATTTTTCCCTCCACTGACCCTCACCCTGCTCCATGACTATGCATCTCAACTTGCCCAGTCTTATATTCAGATGTGGATTTGCAGTACACCTTGTAGGTTTTATGAGCAGTGCCTGCTCCTTTTCCCCACCTGCATTTTGAGTATTGTCAAACAGATGGTACTTGCATCCTTCCTTCATGTATCCTCAAGAGAGGTTAGAATGGATGTACACAATAATTTACAAACATGGTCCACTCTGCTTCCTCCAATTTGCGGGGGATACTGGGTTGCCACCTGCTCAAGACCATTATCGATACCACGCCAGGGAGGGTTGGGACAAGAATAAAAATGACAACAAAAGATACTAACATTTGACGATGGCTTTTGACTTGCTTGGGCATTTGCTTGTTTGTAAAACCACTGACTGATTTCCAGAGGTACTACAGAGGAAGTTTTTGTTTTTTGTTTTTGTTTTTTTTTTTTTTTTAGTTTCTGTAAGGGAATGATAGCTTGATGATTCCTAGTTCAACATTTTCAAGATGTCACCCCCGGAACTGTATTTTTCACTTTTCCTGTTTCAACAATTTTTCTTTTTAAATGACTAAGGTAGGGGAAGTTTTACAAATTGCTAAAAATTAGACCTTATTAATAATGTAGTTGGGATTTTATTCTCCTAATGAAAAGTGCTTTTGTCTTACCATAAACTAGGAGCACAGGAGAATTAAGCAGGAAAGGGATTGTCTTAGTTTAGGCATTATAACAAAATACCATAGACTGTGTGGTTTAAACAACAGACATTTATTTCTTACAGTTCTAGAGGCTGGGAAATTCCAAGATCAAAGTGCCGGCAAATCCTGGTGAAGGTCCAGTTCCTGGTGTGGACAGCTGTTTTCTCACTGTGCTGCACTCACGTGACCTTTCCTCAGTGTATGCATGGAGAAAGAAATCTCTTCTTATAATCTCTATCTTCCACTTCTATATATGGGTACTGTTCCCATCATGAGTGTCCCACCCTCATGACCTAATCTAAATCTAATTAGATTCCTTATAGCCCCATCTCCAAATACCATCACACTAGGGATCAGGGCTTCAAAGTATGAATTCTGAGGGGGCTACAAACGTTTAGTCCATAATAGGGACTTCTCTCATTCACGCAACTAACAAAGTTTTTAAAATATAATATTAAGCGGGGATGGCATTCAAATTCCTTTGTTCAGGACCCTCATGCTGAAAGACATGATTACAGTTTGAACAAATGCAAAGGCACACACGATTTGGGTCAGAAAGACTTAAAATCCAAATGTCATTTCTCCCAAAATAAATATATAAATTTAATGCAGTTCCAACTAGAGTATCAAAGAGTTTTTGTATTTTGAGAACAGTCTTCAGTTATATAGGAAGAAAACTTAGAATAGCCAATAAAACAATGAAAAATGGCAAGGAGGACTTGGTCTGTTACGCATTATCAAAATACAGTAAGGCTAATGTTAAACCAACTTATCAATTAATATGGTTATTAGTATAGAAGTAGAAAAATAGATTAGTGAAACAAGAGAATACAGAAATAGGTCTTGGTATAAATGAAAGTACAAGGCAGTTTCAGTTGAGTGAGGAAAAAATCATGTGTTTAAAGGATTACGTAGCTGAGTTTCAGCTGAATAGAAAAGGATGGTGTGTTGGTGAGGAATTAAGAACAGGCCTCTCCCACTGACCCATATCTGGAAAGATGACCTTAGATTTGACTTTCTACCAGTTTCCTTGATGAAAATAGCTACTGTAGATTCCTCCTTTGTATCCTGTACCTGGTTGGGGGTGGGGAGAACTGTGAATTGGCATGTAGACATCGAAAGCCTATGTGACTAAGGCATCATAAGTCTTGGGAAACCAAGGCAAGTTTCACTGTGCTCAAGTGGGTATCAGTCTTACAACTGGGTGTGCTGCATGGGGGCACACTACGCGGATGCAGTAATGGGTTATCATAAGATGTCCTGGATGAGAATGTTAATGTTTCCCAGTGCTTAGGTGAACCACACCCATGCCGACCTTTTCTCCCCTGAGCCACACTGAGGGCCTGGAAGCTTGTGCTTGCTTGGGCAGTTGCAGTATTGTGAAGGCAGTTATGTTTTTTGTTTGTTTTTGTTTGTTTGTTTGTTTGTTTGTTTGTTTTGGTCAGGGCAAGGCTAATAATAAACTGGGTTAAAGCCTGTTCTCTTTGATTGCTGGTTCAAATCCGTGATTGCTGCTGGTGGACATCACAAGTTGGTGTCAGAACTGTGTGACTGGCTGCTAAGTAGATGGGTTATTTTAACAAATGGTGCTTGTATAACTGGAAACCCATCCAGAAGAAAATAACAAGGAATCCTCATTTCATATGACATTAAAAATTAAGTTCTAAATGGATTAATATTTACATATTGAAAAAAGCAAACAATAAACAACTTGTAAGAAAACCTAAGAAATAGACAATCTAGAGGTTAAAGTATCTTCTTAACCAACATAAGCTTAGAAAAAATTAATACATATCTGGTTACACAGAAATTTAGAGTATTTTTATGGAAAAATCATTTTTATAACAAAAATTAGACAATTCCTAATGTCTATTAAAGAGCTAATAATATGAAAATTTACAAAGAAGCAAATCTAGGAACAAGTGGTTACATTCATCAAACATGAATTTAGTATGTTACCATCTGTTGCCAGGATTAAAGGAAGTTGTGTTTTTGAAAATGATAGCATCTATAAAAATAAAAAAAATAGCCTATGTCCTTTGATCTAACAATCTCTTGCCTGTAACTATCCCCCAGAAATAAAAACATCTGAAATTTAAGTCTGATTTTGAGAGTATTTACCATAGTGTTGTTTGTGGTGACAAGTAACTACCAAAAAGTTGAATCAATAGGGGAATGTCAGAGTAAATTTAAAGTTACGGTCTCACAGATATTACTCATCTTACTCTACGTGACGATCCTAATCATTGTTGCCACCCTGGCAGTAGCTAACTACAGGCACCGAAAGGTAATCCTGGTTTGGTCTGAACTGAGAGTTCTTAGTTGCTCTGGTGACTTCAAAGCTGCACAAGCTCAAAGGCAATCAAAGACACTTAAGAAATATGAGAGAAATGCTTACTGAGGAAAGGAAGAAAATAGAGGATAATTTAGATTCATGTAGATATACACGTTATTTGGGTATGTTACCCCAGACAAATATTTATAATCTTATCTCAAGGCATTTATAATCTTATCTCAAGACCAACCATCAAAACCACTAACAAGCAGTGTAGTGGTATGGTTCTATTAGCATTTCATTATTTTGAATTTAAAAGAAACTGATATATTTGAAATATGCCTAAGATTTGAATGTTGGCTACACATTTTTATCACTATTCGAAAAGAGCACTAACAACTTTTTATATGTCAAGTTGTTGTGAAAAGGGACCAAGTAAACAAAAACCCTCAAAAAGATTTGCTTCAAATATAAGAATATTGTTTAGGTCTCAGATCTCCTTTTTTAGCACCATTTTCTGCAAGGAAACAAATGGGGGATTGGTTGAGTATATCTAGCAGAATAGAAGAAAAAGTGATGTTAAAATTGAAGGTGAAATGCAAGAGTTGACATTTTACTCAGTGTCATATTTAAAAATTTAAGGGTAACTTGGTTTCCTCATTTTAAAACACCAAATCCTTAATGCCAATACTGGTTATGTGTACTTTAAAAGTTTCTGATAAATATTTTCAATAGAAACCATTTCTTAATATCAAGTCTGTGCATGTATATTAAATGGTATGATCCTTAAATGTGTGTAACTGAACCAACCTGTAGCACATCCATGCTATAATTTTAAGTAGAGATCACACAGATTAGTGATGTCACATGCAAGAGTAAATTTAAGCTACCATCCCAATTTTAAGAAATAACTTACAGTAAAGATATGATTTAGAAATATTTCCTATAAAATATTAATATCTATCTGGGATTGGGAGTCTATTATTACATATACTCCATGTACAGCTTTCCTACCTCTGTTTTTTAATTTTCAGAAATATCACAAAGAAAAGAACACATATATTACCACAACCCAGAGGTAACTAACATTTTGTTATATTTACTTAGAATCTTTTTAATGATAGATATTTAACCAACTGAGCCACACAGGCGCCCCTATGATAGGCGTTTAGATACAAAACTGAAGTATCTAACTACCATGGTTGGTCCCATTTCTTTTCCACTACCATTCTTTCTAGAGGCAGCCACCTTTGGGAATTTGAGTGTGTATCTTTCCAATCTATTCTTCAGTTTTATATAAAAACATTTATCCATAATCAATGCTTAATACTAGTGTTTGCTAGTGTTGATTTAATTCAAATTCACAGTTATGATTATATTTATCCCTTCGTTGTTTTTACTCTACATGACTTTTCAGGTCTTTCTCTGTTAATATATTTAAATATATATCACCTGTTATACTTAACTACTAGAGAATATTCTACTATGTGCCTATAACACATTTTATTTATCCATTTCACAAGCAACAGACATTTGTTTCCAGTTTTTCTGCTAATGTAATTCATGCTTCAACATAAAGATACATGACTCCCTAGACACATGTATTGGTTTCTTGGGGATATGCATGTATACTTGAGAGTATCCTGGAATCTATTTTAGAAATTCCCTCCTACTCCACAAAGGTTTTAAAACATTCTCCTATAAAATTCTTATATTATGAAGTTTTGCTTTTTGCATTTTAGTCTTCAATACTTTGGGATTTCATAATAAATACTTTAATGTATTACTACAGCAGAGATCTATTATTTTTCCACATGAAGAGTCAGTTACCCTGAGACCATTTTTTGAATCATCCATGATTTCATTTCCCGACCAACCTTGAAACCACCTCTATCAATGAACAATTCCTTATAAACGCATGCATGTTTCTGAATACAATATTCTGTCCCAATCTCTGATTTCTACAAATGAATCAAGAACAAATAATTCTGATTACATATGTAGTGAAACACTTTTAAAATGACAATTTTGTCTCTCAATGTCAAATCTTTATACCTCTTAATGCATCAGGGAGGCCTTCCAGAACCATGTTGCTTAGTGCTCATGACTGGATCCTTACTTAATGAGATTGCTCCTAAAAGTACATCATTAACAGTGTCTGTTGTGGGAGTTCTGGGAATAGAGGTTTTCATGATACTACGATACTTATTAAAATTGTTAGTATTTAAATTTTGAGTTGTTGAAGTATTTTCCACATTCATGTCGCTTTACTGTAAAACGAATTTTCAGTATTCCATTAAAGTGTGAGTTCTGATGAAAGTTTTCCTAAATTCAAGGCATTCATAGAGCTTTTAGTGAGTATGAATTCTCTGGTGTCTAATATGATGTGACTTCTGGCTAAAAGCTTTCCCACATTCACTACACTGATAAGGTTTTTCTCCAGTATGGATTCTCATATGCAGAGCAAGAGTTGAGAACTGAGAGAAGGCTTTCCCACATTCATTGCAACCATAGGGCTTCTCACCTGTATGGCTTCTCATATGAACAGTAAGAGATGAGCTTTGACAGAAGGCTTTCCCACATATTTTACATTCATAAGGTTTATCACCTGTATGAATTCTCACATGTACAATGAGTGATGTGATTCGAGAGAAGGCTTTTCCACATTTATTACATTCATAAGGTTTTTCTCCTGTATGAATATTGTGATGTTTAATGAGGTATTGCTTCTGCCTAAAGATTGTTCCACATTCATTACATTTATAGGGTTTCTCTCCAATATGAATTTTCTCATGCTCAGTGAGATTTGATTTGCCACTGAAGGCTTTCCCACATTCTTTACATATATAGGGTTTCTCTCCTGTATGACTTCTCTGGTGTCTAATGAGGCTAGACTTCTGAATGAAAGCTTTCCCACACCCTTTGCATTCATATGGTTTCTCTCCAGTATGTATTCTTTGATGGATGATGAGGTTTTCCTTCTGGCTAAAGGCTTTTCCACATTCGTTACATTTAAAGGGTTTCTTTCCACTGTGGATATTCTGATGTTTAATGAGGTATTGCTTCTGGCTGAAGGCTCTTCCACATTGATTACATTCAAATGGTTTCTCTCCCGTATGAATTTTCTCATGCTCAGTGAGATATGATTTGCCACTGAAGGCTTTTCCACATTCCTTACATGCATAGGGTTTGTTTCCAGTATTATTTCTCTGATGTTTAATGAGACCTGGCATCTGAATAGAAGCTTTCCCACAGTCATAAAGTTTCTCTCCGGTATGATGTTTCTGGTGAGAAAGGAAGTTTCTTTTCCGGCTGAAGGCTTTTCCACATTTATTACACTTATATGGTTTCTTTCCTGTATGACTTCTCAAATGTAGAGTAAGGGATGAGACTCGAGAGAATACTTTACCACATTCAGTACATTCATGTGATTTTTCTCCAGTATGCATTTTCTTATGCTCTATGAGGTTTTGCTTCAGGCTAAAGGTTTTTCCACATTCACTGCCTTCATGAGGTTTCTCTCTATTATGAATCTGATCATGCTGAAGGAGATCTGCTTCAGGCTGAAGGCTTTCCAACATTCTTACCATGCACAGATATTTTTTCCAACAAGAATTCCTCAGTGTTTCTTGACATTTGACATAGATAAAAGCTTTTCCACATTCATCAAATTCATGTGTTTTTCTCTCCAATATTAATCCTCAGGTGGCTAATGAAGTTGAATTTATGATCAAAGACTTTACATTGTTTATACTGAGATTAGACAATTACAGATTGGTATATGACATCATTGTATTCTTAATTGATCTTTCTTAGATCGCTTCTCTTAAAGTATAAACTATGTTCTAAATTCCCTTAAACTGAACCCCATACACAGAGATATAATCTTAAAAAATTAGTGTCTGTGTTTAGAGGAAATACTTTTCTGTTACCCAGGTTTTCTGAATTTCTTCTTAGCTGTATTTTCATGGAGAAGGAGGAAACATAACTCACATGTCTTCCATGTTGTGTCTATTGACTTAGAAATTTCTCAGACCTTTTCTAAAAGGGAATACAAAACAGAACAAACAACAAAAGAATCACTGAAAAGAGCTAATAATATACCATGCCTAGCATGTAGTAAAAATTCAATAAAATAGCTGTTATCATCATCAATATCACTCTACTTGTGATTTTTTTCCCCAGTATTATTAATATAATTTCAGAAATGTGGTATTATAAAATAGACTCTTTATTTCAAACCTAGTCTACCATTATAAAAGAAAGCATAGATACAAATAACATTCACAGATACATGTAGCTTAAACTGCTTTTATTATATATATATATATGTATACACACGTGTATACATATATATACATTTTTTTTTTTTTTTTACAGCATGGAGCCCAATGTGGGGCTTGAACTCACAACCCTGAGATTAAGACCTGAGCTGAGATCAAGAGTTGGACACTTAACTGAGTTACTCAGGTGCCCCTAAAACTGCTTTTATTTATTTATTTTTAAAAATATTTTATTTATTTATTTGACAGAGATCACACGTAGGCAGAGAGAGAGGGGGAAGCAGGCTCCCTGCTAAGCAGAGAGCCCGATGCAGGGCTTGATCCCAGGACCCTGAAATCATGACCCGAGCCGAAGGCAGAGGCTTTAACCGACTGAGCCACCCAGGCTCCCCCTTAAACTGCTTTTAAATGTAACTTCGTACACTTTATAAGTAAAGAAAACATAAAGAATAGGTGTCAAACAGGATGAAAGGACAAAAACATAAAATTGGGCGAGCCTAGGATGAAGGGAATTGAAGGGAATGAAGGGAAAGGAAAAGAATTATTATTAAAAAAGGATGTGTGGTTAAATAAGATTCTGTATCTTTCTGAAACTCCATTAAAATGACAGTTAAGAGATGAAGGGCATATACTCATAAACATTAAGAGGTTGAGGAGATAATCAATGGATGAAAAGTTTTAGGAAATTTTGAAAAGAAAGCAAGTAACTGTAACAGCAGAATCGAATGACTTAAATAGAAAGCCAGCAGAAGGGGATGACACCTAGAACCAAGGTAATTTAGGACACAGCTGGCAACACAAAGGCTCTAACTGGAGAGACTGGGTGAGAATGGAATGGGAGACTTATAAAAATTATAAAAGCAGCAACTAATGGTATAAATGGGAGGCTCCAAATTTAGTGATGACAGGCACAGAAGATCAGAGTAACATATTAAAAAGAAGGTAATGAGTAAAAGTTCACATGCAGACTAGGGTCCCAACCCCTTTCTACTGCTGCTTGTTAGAAATGCTGGTGGTTGCTGGTGTCAGGCAATGGAAGGGTTCTTTTCTGAAAAAATGAGAAGACCATGAGAACATTTATAGATATTAACATATGGAGTCATATAAAAGAAACATCAAAATATCTGATTGAATGATGCACAGCAAAGCCCACCATTTTATAAGCCCCAACTGTGCACAGAGATTACAGTAATATTTCAGGTACCTCATTGTTAAATATTAATATAGCACTAAAGATCACAAAAATTTGATGAAAGCCCTAAGGTGAAAGATAGATCAAAACAAACAGGGAAAAAAAAAAACAAAAACAAGAAAAGGAACAAAAGAACACACATACAATATTATAATTAGTATTACAGAAAGCTAAGAGGTTGTATAGCACTAAAATATTAACAGGGTTTTATAAAGAAGTGCTTTTTGCAAATAAGCAATATGATGTTGACCTAAAATATTCAATAGCTTTGGGGGAAAAAAGTCCAGGAAATCTCCCAGAATCAAAAAAGGAAGAATGGAAAGAACAAAGGGAGAAAGAAATAATGATTGGAAATTTGTGGGTTAGTAAAGGCATCTAGGAGGTTCAACATTAAAGGAGTTACAGAGAAAATACAAAGGAAAATGAATGCAGGAAATTTTCTGGATCCCTGCATGTTAACAATCTGACTATATATATAAATGACGTATTTTAGAAGATTTTATTTTATTTGTTTTAGAGAGAAAGAGAGGATGGGGAGAGTCATAGGGAGAAAAGAAACTTAAGCAGACTCCACGCTGAATGCAGAGCCCGACAGGGGGCTTGATCTCAGAACCCTGCAATCCCTACCTGAGCTGAAACCAAGAGTTGGACACTTAACCAACTGTACCACCCAGGTGCCCCTAAAGTATTTTATTTTTATGTAATCTCTCCACCCATTGTCAGGCTCAAACTTACAACACTGAGATCATGAGTGACATGCCCTACCAACTAAGCCAGCCAGTTGCTCCCAAGCTGATATTGTTTTAAAATGGTTAAATCAAAAGTAGGCAAAATAGCTGTATAAAATGTGGGAATAAACACCAGTAGACTCAGTTAAATGAGTTGAAAGTAGTTGCCTATGTGGGGCAGGAAGGATGGAGCAAATAAAACTATAATCCTATTTCACATTAAAAAAAAAAAGTCTTTTATTTATTTAATATCTACACCTCACGTGGGACTCGAACTCATAATCCTGAAATCAAGAGTTGTACACTGCTCTGACTGAGCCAGCCAGGTACCCCCTATTTCACTTTTAAAGGCCCCAATTCATTGTATCTACAGAGATGTCCTTGACTTGAGCCTTTCAACTTGAACTGACCTATAATTGTACAGTAACTATAGACTTTGCTCTTTTTATCTGGTTGCAATTGAGTTTCACATGGCTAAACAAAGTACACATAGATTTAGTGAAAAAAAGGAAAATAGGCCAGAAAAGTCATTTTTGCTTTGAAATCTGATTTACTGCAGTATTTTGATGATTGATACTATCATTTCTAGATACAGAAACTGTCACTGCCATCAATTTCAGTTTTCATTTCTTTTCCTTTCATTATGCCTGAAATAAGTGGCACCAAAGCTCTTCTTTTGTCAAGAGCTCTTTTCTTGTCCTCCCTTGGAATTCTTTATTTTATAATTGCTTCCTGTCCACTAAGTGGAAATCTTCCATGTGATCCTGATCTGTCTTGTCCCTCTCAAAATTTTAGCTTCATTTTTTCTTTTTTTGAAAGATTTTATTTTAAAGATTTTATTTTTAAGCAATCTTTTAAAAATTTATTTATTGACACAGAGAGAGAGACAGACAGACAGACAGACAGCGAGAGGGGAACGCAAGCAGGAGGAATGGGAGAGGGAGAAGCAGGCTTCCTGCTGAGCAGGAACCCTGATGCACCCAAAGTGGGGCTCAAACTTACAAACCTGAGATCAAAGTCCCATGCTCTATGGACTGAACCAGCCAGGTGCCTCTCCTGATTTTCTTATAAACCACTGCAAGAACCGACTCTAGTAGTACACTATCCCTCATATCAATGCTATAATTTACATAATTAGAAAACAAAAGCCCTCAACCTTTACTCTATGCCATATGCAAAAACTCACTCAAACTGAAACAAAGACCTCAAATAAGTGTTAAAACTATTCATATAAAAAGAAAAAATGGTAGACTTCATCAAAATTAAAAACTAATGCCCTTCAGGGGCGCCTGGGTGGCTCAGTCATTAAGTGTCTGCCTTCGGCTTAGGTCATGATCCCAGAGTCCTGGGATCAAGCCCCACATCGGGCTCCCTGCTCAGTGGGAAGCCTGCTTCTCCCTCTTCCACTCCCCCTGCTTGTGTTCCCTCTCTCACTGTGTCTCTCTCTGTCAAATAAATAAAATCTTAAAAACAAACAAACTGATGCCCTTCAAAAACACAGTTAACAAAAAACTCAAAGAGATAAACAATCTAGTTTTTTTTTTTAAAAGATTTTATTTATTTGTCAGAGAGAGAGAGGGAGAGAGAGCAAGCGCAGGCAGACAGAATGGCAGGCAGAGATAGAGGGAGAAGCAGGCAGGCTCCCTGATGAGCAAGGAGCCCGATGTGGGACTCGATCCCAGGACGCTGGGATCATGACCTGAGCTGAAGGCAGCTGCTTAACCAACTGAGCCACCCAGGCGTCCCAGCAATCTAGTTTTTAAAATGGGCAAAAGACTAGAACAGACATTTCACAAAATCAGATATATGGATGACCAATAAGTACATCAGACGTTCATTTTAACTAGTGATCAGAAATGCGTATTAAAATCCCAGTAAGGGGTGCCTGCGAGGTTTAGTCGGTTAAGTGTCTGCCTTTTGTTCAGGTCATGACCTCAGGGTTCTGGGATCAAGTCCCATCTCAGTCTCCCTGCTCAGCGGGGAGTCTGCTTCTCACTCTGCCCCTACCCCCAGTTCATTCTCCCTCTGTTTCTCTCTCCAATAAATAAAATCTTAAAAAAAAAAACAACCCTGGGGTGCCTGGGTGGCTCAGTGGGTTAAGCCGCTGCCTTCGGCTCAGGTCATGATCTCAGGGTCCTGGGATCGAGCCCCGCATCGGGCTCTCTGCTCAGCGGGGAGCCTGCTTCCTCCTCTCTCTCTGCCTGTCTCTCTGCCTGCTTGTGATCTCTCTCTGTAAAAATAAATAAATAAAATCTTTAAAAAAAAAAAAAAAAAAACAAAAAAAACAAAAAACAACCCAAACTCAGTGAGATCCATTACACACCCACTAATATGGCTAAAGCTAAAACAACTGCGAAACCAAGTGTGAGACTGTGAAGCAACTAGAACTCTGAATGATGGGAGTAGTAGGTGGGGATGAAAAATGGTTCAACTACTTTGGAACACAATCTGAGAGTATTTTACAAAGTTAAATATACACTTACTATTCTATGTATCAGAGCCCATAGAATACGTTTGAAAAATGCCTATATAAGTTTTGACATAAATATTTACATTATTTTAAAAACAAATAACATAAAGTAAGCATTCAAACTAGGGAATTACAATAAGGAAACGTAACTATAATAAAAACAGAAAAATTGGGTGGCTCATTTGGCTGTGTCTATTCTTATTTTCAGCTCAGGTCATGATCTCAAGGTCATGAGATTGAGTTTTGCAGGGCTCTGCGCTGAGCAAGGAACCTGCTTGGGGTTCTCTCTCCCTCTCTCTGCCCCCACCCCCACCACGTGGCTCTTTCACTTCCTCCAAAAAATAAATAAATAATCAAAAGAAGAACAGAAAAAAATTTAAAGATAAATTAATTACTACAAACAGAAAAACAGAAGTAATAATAAATTCATAAGTTGATTCTTAGGGAAAAACTAAAGAGTTGAATAAAAGCAAAATTACAAAAATAAAAAATGATTATTTCAAAATAACAGTAGATAGCAAAGGACTGTAGATTATTTGCTCAACTCCATGCAAATAAATTTGAAAACCAAATATAACCTATGAAACCTGAGACCAGAAAAGACAGAAGTCCTAAACAGCAAAGGAAACATAGGAAAAAAATAAAAAATAGAGACAATTTTTGAAGTATTTGATCACCGCAAAGACCAAGGCATAGATGGTTCAACCATAGATGGTTCAACCAACATAGATGGTTCAACATTACTAATGTTTTACAGTAATAGCATTTATTTAAAAATTTCCAACTCATATTTGCAAAAGAATGATGCAGAACAGATCAGGACATAACCCACTGTAGTCCTAGTAAAAGAAAACACAGGGGCACCTAGGTGGCTCAGTCCGTCGAGTGTATGACTCTTATTTCAGCTCAGGGTCCTGAGATTGAGCCCTGCATGGGACTCCATGCTCAAGCACAGAGTCTGTTTGTCCCTCTCCCTCCCCTTCTTCTCCTCCCCTCACTCATGTGCTCTTTCTCACATAAGAAAAATAAAATCTTCAATAAAAGGGTTCCTGGGGGGCTCAGTGGGTTAAGCCTCTGCCTTTGGCTCAGGTCATGATCTCAGGGTTTTGGGATCGAGCCCTGCTTCCCCTTCTCTCTCTCTGCCTGCCTTTCTGCCTACTTGTGATCTCTGTCTGTCAAATAAATAAATAAATAAAATCTTTAAAAGAAAAAAAATCTTCAAAGAAAAAAAAGGGAAAAGAAAACAGGAATAATATCTTGTTGGTAACTAAAACTCCTTGAATTTTTATAGGGATGACATCAATATACTTCATACGGATTGATCAGAATTGAATTTTTCATACTGTAAATTTTTTTTTTTAGATTTATTTATTTTAGAGAGCAAAACAGAGAGTGAGCGAGGTAAGGGGGAAAGGAAGAGTGAGAATCTCAAGTTGACTCTTCACTGAGTGTGGAGCCCAACAAAGGGCTCGAACTCACCACAAGATCAAGACCTGAGCCAACATCAAGTCTCGGACCCTTAACTGACTGAAGCACCCCGGTGCCCCTCATACTGTAAAATTCTGAACTGAACTAGGAAACATCATCTGAAAAACAGGCAAAATGGTTGTTTCAATAGCATTTAACTTTTGGTTTAAAAAATATTTTCAAAATAGAAATCAATATAACCTAATGCTAAGCAAACTACTTTTGTGCTGTAATGTCTGATCTGGGTAGTAGCAGCAGAGATCCTATGGTCTACAAAGCCTTACATATTTACTATCTGGACCTTTACAGAAAAAGTTTATTGGCTTCTTGCCCTACATGGTGATTTCTTCCTTCTCTACCTGGCTGGAACCAGGAATGCACTGTTGATGCACTCACTAGGACCACCAAAGTGTAAGCCACAACTGAATGATAAAAGAGACAACCTGGAAGAAATCTGGATCCTTAAAGAACCACAAAGACCAAAGTGACCATGCAGCTCTTCACTACTCACCACATTAACTGTTATATGACCTGGAAATCAATTCTTATATTCCTTGAAGCAGTATATTTAGGGTTTATTATAGTCATTTAGCTTTACCATGACTGATACACTTTTTAGTTGCATGCTTTACAACATCATGTATCTGCAGAAGCCTGGCTCAACTCAGGCATTTGTTGTAGCAGAAAGTAGTCACAGACAATAAGAAAATGAATGGACAAGATGCAGTGTAGGTGGCCATATTTTAGTATTCCTAAAAACACGTACTAGGATGTAGTTTGCCAACCCGTACTCTAACAAGTCACCATTTCCACAGAATATAGTTAAGAGTTTGCTTGACATTTTTGCATTCTGATATAGTATTTTGAAAATATTTAATCACTAGTTTGGACCTCTTCCCTCAACTGACTCACATATCCACTTGCCACTCAAAATCTGCACTTGGATATCTAACAGGGGTCTAATTTACCCTGCCCCAGACCAAACTCTTGTTCTTCCAAATGAATTCCCCCTAAATTCTTCTCATCTCGTTAAATAGCAACCTCATTTTTCCACTTGCTCAAGCTTTGAACAACTGTCTTCTAGATCACACACCTATTACATCTCTGTGCCCTGCTGGCTTTATCTTCAAATTATGGTTAGCATTTGGCCATTTCTCTTAATCCTCACTCACAAGGACCACCAAAGTGTAAGCCACATCATGCCTTGACTGGACTATTTAATAGGCTCCTCATTGTTCTTCCAACTTTTGCCTTTGCCTCTTTATAACTCCTCTAAACACAGCAACAGCTGTTTATTCTTGTCACAGTTAAATCATGTCATTGTTCTTCTTGAAAGCCTCCTTGTATACTCATAAACACATTTAGAAGAATACACAGTTAATAGTGGCTGCTTCTGGGGAACAGAAATGGAGAAGTGAGGGCCAGGATTGAGAAGACATACCCATTATTTTACTTTTCTATTAAGTATATGTATTGGATTTTATTTTATTATTTTATTTTTTCATTTTTTTAATTTTTAAAGATTTTATTTATTTGACAGAGAGAGAGAGAGAGATCACAAGTAAGCAGAGAGGCAGGCAGAGAGAGAAGGAGAAGTAGACTCCCCGCTGAGCAGAGAAGCCGATGTGGGGCTCGATCCCAGGACCCTGAGATCATGACCTGAGCTGAAGGCAGTGGCTTAACCCACTGAACCACCCAGGTGCCCCTTATGTATTGGATTTTAAATTTATTTCTTCTTAAAATAACAGAGAGGTGAAGTCATAGGATGTCAGAACAAATTTCTGAGGCTGCTTATATTGTTAAAAAGCAAGAGGGGGAGAAATGTTGTGCAACGATAGTTGGAGGTAGAAAGAGAATAAGATATAGGATAGGGGCGCATGGATGGCTCAGTTGTTAAGCATCTGCCTTCGGCACAGGTCATGATCCCAGTGTCCTGGTACGGAGCCCCACATCGGGCTCCCTGCTCAGCAGGAAGCCTGCTTCACCCTCTATCACTCCCCCTGCTTGTGTTCCCTCTCTCACTGTGTCTCTCTCTGTCAAATAAATAAATAAATAAAATTTAAAAAAAAAATTAAGTAAGTAAATTAATTTAAAAAGGAAGGGGTAAAATTCAACTCTGAGATCTATAACAATGGAAGTAGGGAGAAATGATAGAATGTTAAATTTTATTAGAATTTTTTTCTTTTTTTTTTTTTTTTTTTAAAGAGAGAGAGGGCAAGCAGGGGATTAGAGGGGGAGAGGGAGAGACGGAAACTCCCTCCCAGGCAGGCTCCATTGTCCAGCGTGGAGTCCAATGCCGGTCCTATCCCATGACCCTGAGATCATAACCTGAGCCAAAATCAAGAGTTGGATGATCAACCACCTAAGCCACCAAGGCATCCGTAGAACATTTAATTTTAAAGAAAAGAATCTACATGCTAAGATTTGAAAGATACAGGTCTTGTAATCCTTGGCAAGATGACTGAATGCTTAAGGGAAGGAGTCTAGACATCTAAAGGGAAGTAAAAAATAAAGAATGTTAGTGAAAGGGAGAACACAACATGTAAGTTGTATTATCAAACTGAGAATACAAATGAAGAGGCTGGCATCCAGAAGAAAGGTTAGAGGGGCAACCAGTCCCCCAGAATCTGAGAGAAAAAGAGCACTGATAAGCAAGTGTATCTGGAAATGTTATTTAGATATCTAAAGAATTTCAGCAACTGTTACTCCAAAAGACAAGGGCTGATAAGACAACTGCCTCAAAAAAATTGTGAGAGGTTGCAGGTTGAGTAACTCTAATGAGCCTTTATCCCAGAACCTGTTGGGTTCTTTCTTACTCACCTGGATAGCACCTCCTTTACATTTCTCTCTCAGACATCTGTTGATCTTGTTAAACTGGCACCTTAAACTTCTAAACAGTGACACAGGACTTGGACGTTATTGTTGAGGGTCAAAGCAGCATCCCATAATTCAGGTTGAGGCCATAGGACTTCTGGAAGTTTTAAAGGACAAGGCAAGTGCAGTTCCTGTGGATGCACGAGGAAGACGGCCTGTGAAAAAGAACAAAGTAATAATGACCCTTTGGCTTAGAAGCTGGTGCATACGCATACATGTGAGCACATGGAAAAAGAGAGTATTTATACTCTGCATCCCAGGCCAAAGCCATCATGCCATTTAAAGGCCCCACACAGGGGTGCCTGGGTGGCTCACTCTAGGTTAAGCACCACCCTTCAGCTCAGGTCATGATCTCAGGGTCCTGGGACCTCTTCAGGAGCCTGCTTCTTCCTCTCCCTCTGTCCCTTCCCCCTGCTTGTGTGTGTGTGCTCTCTAATAAATAAATAATTTTTTTTTTAAAGGCTCCACACGTTTCAGAAATGGGAAACGTCATTTTCAGGGATTTAGGGGATACAGAGAAATTACAAGACTGAGTTGTTAGAGTTCTACAGAATCACAACCTAAACAGGTACCTTGGATTAGGTACCACTTGTGGCCTTGCTCCTGATTGAACAGTCACAGTTTTGAATATCATTTTCCCCTATAAAAACATTTTTCTCGGGGCGCCTGGGTGGCTCAGTGGTTTAAGCCTCTGCCTTCGGCTCGGGTCATGATCTCAGGGTCCTGGGATCGAGCCCCGCATCGGGCTCTCTGCTCAGCTGGGAGCCTGCTTCCCCCTCTCCCTCTGCCTGCCTCTCTGCCTACTGATCTCTCTCTCTCTCTGTCTCAAATAAATAAATAAAATCTTTAAAAAAACAAAAAACATTTTTCTCATAGATCTGAAGTCATCAACCTTAAATGATATGGATAAAATGTAAAGGAAGTTATTAATGTATTCTTCATGGTCAGAGTTCTTAAAATTTTTAGCTGCCTAATATTTTACCTAGGTTATGTTACTCTAGGAGGAATTAAATATTGTAAGTGCTCTATAATTACATGGTCATTCACTGATTCAGCAAACATACATATTTATCATTGATTTTGCGTAATTAAGAAATCTGGGCCTCCAATTTGTAATGGGTTATGACAGACAAGAATCAGACTTCCTCAAAAGCTCTTCCCTTACTCAAATATAAAAGGCTTCGAATCTGGCTGGACAGTGTCATGAACTGACAAAACAGATAATACAAAGGGGAAATGGATGGAGGCAGGAGATATCAGTACTAACATTTTGGGCATAAAGAGTTTGAGGTTTCTGTGCAACCTTAAGGTGGAGCTGTTCATTAGGTAATTTGGATATGTGAGTAAGTAGCTCAGGATTTGGCTCAAACAAGAATGGACATTTGTTAGTCACCTGTCACGTGAGGCCACAGCAATGGAATTTTGTTCTTAGAAGTAAATATATATATATATATATACACACATATATATATATGTATGTATATATCAAAGTGAGAAAATTAGGAACACTAATAATTAAGGGACAAACAGGGGGGATGGTTATTCCTTGGTTTTGACTGGAATTATACAAATGAATAGTATATTGGAAGTCAAGGAAACATTCAAAAATGAGACAGTGGTAAACATCTGAAAAGTAATGGAGTGAACACAGAAACCTAATTCCTCCATTCCAGTTAAAAATGGGAATCTACAAACAGGCAAGCAAAAATGTGTTTCTAACCCTTGCCCTAGCTGTTCCATCTCCCTCCTCATCAACCTTTTTTATTTTCTGTGTAAACTTCAGAAGTTTCTTTATGCACCTACAAATATACATTCTTATTCCCACTTATTAAAAAGGTAGTATATTACATATTACCAAACAGGCACTTAGCTTTCTTCACGAAACAAAATACCTTGCAGACTTTTTAAATCTAAGATATGACATATATTTCCATTTGCTCAAGTCATCTTTTGGGTTTAGTGTTATATGGATTTTATGTATTTCTTGTTTATCCTAAAGTGCTTTGTCTGATTTGTTGCTATTGTAAATAAAGTACTGTCTTCATAAATATTACTGATTACTTTTTGTATATACCAAAGATATTATTTGTGTATATGAGTTTTTGTACCGTGATACTTTTTCATTTTATTGAAAATTACGTTAAGTGTGATAGAATACTGAAAGAAAGTGTCGTTCTAGATAGAAGAAAATTTGTTTCGTTACATTTACAAAGGCCATTTGGTCTGGGGAAAACCTGGTCAAATTACGAATCACTGCCACGTCGCTAAGAAACAAGTCTTAAATCAGTTACTTGATATCTATGCACCAAAGACAGGACAACATCCTTCACAATTCTGTGCTGTCTACACTACTAGAAACTAGCTCTAAAAGCTCCTCCTTAGTCCAGGGCTTCTCAAAGCTGCCTCACCAAAGTTCCTCCAAAGAATTACTAAAAGTCCATGCACAGGGGGAGTCTAGTAATTCAATAACAAGTTTTTCGGAAATATTTACTTTTAAAAATTGTTAATACTGATTTTGTTTCCTACTCCTCAATGAGCCTGCCTTTATATAAAAATTGCTTTAAAAATTATTCTCTCTCGATGTCTTAGCTATTTTCCTTTCTTTCAGAAAAACGGATACTCCGGGAAGATACGTCTTTATTATCATTATTTTAGAAACGAGAAAAGTGAGGTTGAGGTTGCTACCCCATAAAGCTCACTATGCCATCCATCCTCACAAACTTGGAACCACACAATTCTCACGCAAGTTGTACCCCTACAACCTTCTCACACCCTCCGTAACCCACCCGCGAACTCGCCCCAGTTTCCTCCTGTGCCCCTGCCCCCATCCGCACGGGCTTTGAACACTGCACGTCACAGTAAGCGATTCCTCCCCTTCAGCCAACCCAACCCTATCGCGGGTTCTAAGAATCCTCCCCGACAGCCTCCCTAACGGGATTCTGAGCCCAGAACCCCCAGGTCCCACGCCCAGATCTGCGCCTTGCGAGACCGAAACCACACTCACCCGCAGACAAAGACGACTATGGCGAGCCAGAAAGTCTGCGCCTGCGCACTCCTAGGGCTGGCTAGCACTCCCAGAGGTCTCCTGGGCTCCGCCGGGCTCAGTACCGGACAGAAACTGTCGGTATTGGCCGGTCCTCCGCTTTTCTGACTGCGGACTACATTTCCCATAAGTTCCAGGGGTTCGAGCGCGCTTTTCGCGCTTTCTTTCCTGCGCCAGAGTTTGTAGGACTGTCTCCCTGAGTCAGAGGACGCAGTTTAATGATCTACGTCTTTTTTTTTTTAAAGATTTTATTTATTTTTTATTTATTTGACAGAGAGAGATCACAAGTAGATGGAGAGGCAGGCAGAGAGAGAGAGAGAGGGAAGCAGGCTCCCTGCTGAGCAGAGAGCCCGATGCGGGACTCGATCCCAGGACCCTGAGATCATGACCTGAGCTGAAGGCAGCGGCTTAACCCACTGAGCCACCCAGGCACCCCTAATCTACGTCTTTTAACTCTCCCTTTGGGAGAGGGCAGTTTAATAAACTCAGTCCAAGCATGTCGGGCTTACTCCAAGTAGGAGCCAAGGTTTAAGGCCGAAACATTTCGGGGCGCAGTTCAGGGTGGGCGAGTGTCGGGCGGACTCTCCGGCACGACTCAAGCCGGCTACCTTCTCCATCACTAGTGCGGAGCTTAACTACATTTCCCAGGAGGCATCGCGTCCATCGCTTCTCCCCACAGGGAGGCGGGCGGCTTTGAGCCGAGCTGTATTTAGACGGGAGCTGGGGTTTCTCAGCCGCGCGCTATGGCCACGAATGCGTTGCAGAGGAGACTCAGGTTGAAAAAAGCCCAGAGCCCGGCGGCGGGACGGAGACTGAGTGTTAAGTAAGTCTGTTAGGGCAGAAGGGGCTGAGGAGGGGCGGTGGTGTAATTTTGTGACTATCAGGTGGTGTGTGTATTGTGCGTTTGTGAATGTGTGTGATACCGTGTGTGCGGGGGTGGATTAGCTTATCATAACACTGTGAGTCCCCGTGGTATGATTGTTCATGTGTGACCGTGTGTAACACTGTGGTTGGGGGTTACCTGTGACTGTGTTCCCTGTAGTGGGTATGCCCTTGTGACTGTGTGACCTGTATTCCACTTTTTGTGCTAGTATAGTGAGCTGTGTGACTGAGCCGCCGTGGGTATTTTAACTGTGGAGCGCCGTGTGGGAAGGGAAGGGAGGGTGTTGTGACGCAGAGTGTGATTTTGTGTCTAGTAGTGGGTGTGCAACTGAGCAGCACTGTGTGAATTTGGGGAGATTGTGTTGGTGACTGTGTCACACGTAATCATATATGGGACCACAAGACAAGACGACTCTGGCCCTTGACGGTGAAGGCCTTGACTCTTTTCTCTGACCCTGAGATTGATTTGGAAGCTCTGGTTTCCTCTCATGGCTAGGGTGGCGTGCGGCAGGTGTAACCAGTTGACTTTCTCATCCGGGCCCCAAGAATGGTCTGCTGTCTCCTTCCCCGTCTCTATCCTTCTCCAAAAACGGTCTCCGTTGAAGGAGGAAATAATTGTTGTGACAATTAAAACTTAGGTTTAAGGTGACTTAATATTTTCTCTTTATCTCCGGAATGCTTTATTTTTTCAGACTTGATTTTCTTTCTTGGTGAAGGCCTAACAAAGACCCATCAAGTTACCTGAAACCTCTTGTTTCTCTTAGAAAATATCTTCCTTGCACTCCCCAATTTTTAAATTAATATAACTAAAGGTACATTTTTATTTATTTTAAAAGGTTTATTCGAGAGAGAGAGCATGTGTGCACAAAGCACAAATGGGAGAGAAAGAGAGTCTCAAGCCTACTCTCGTTTTTTTGCATGGAGCAGGAGGCAGGGTTGGATCCCGGATCCTGAGATCAAGACGCCAGGGAAACCAAGAGTTGGTTGCTTAGCAGACTGAGCAACCCAGGCCCACACAAATAGTACATTTTATATTGAGTGCTGACTATATTGGTTGTACTTAAATACATATATAAACATGTAGATTCATATACACACATATATACATATTTTCGTTTAAGTGGTACTGTAACATCACATAATTGAAAATTCTTTGAGAATATAGTTTTTTTATTATAAACTCGTGGGGGCGCTTATCACACATGCACTCCTTAATTCCCATCACCTGTTTCCAAGAATTTATTCTCCTCTTCCCCCACCCAATCCACCTACTCTCTGGTAACCATCAGTTTCTTATTTATAGTTAATAGTCTGTTTCTTGGTTTATGTTTGTTTTTCCCCTTTGCTCACTTAAACTCCACATATGAGTGAAATCGTATGGTATTTGTCTATAACTTATTTCACTTAGCATTACACTGTCTAGCTCCCTCCATGTCCTTGCAAATGGCAAGATTTCATTCTTTTTTTTTTTTTTAAAGATTTTATTTATTTATTTGACAGAGATCACAAGTAGGCAGAGAAGCAGGCAGAGAGAGAGGAGGAAGCAGGGTCCCTGCTGAGCAGAGAGCCCGACTTGGGGACTTGGGGCTCAATACCAGGACCCTGGGATCACGACCCGAGCCGAAGGCAGAGGCTGCAACCCACTGAGCCACCCAGGCGCCCCCCCTGGCTATTTTTTTTAAAGATTTTTATTTATTTATTGGACAGAGAGAGATCCCAACCAGGCAGAGCAGCAGGCAGAGAGAGAGGGGGAAGGAGGCTCCCTGCTGAGCAGAGGGCTGGATGCGGGACTCAATCCCAGGACCCTGGATCATGACCTGACCAGAAGGCAGAGGCTTAACCCACTGAGCAACCCAGGTGCCCCATATCTTGGCTATTTTAAGTAATGGTGCTATAAACATAGAGGTGCATGTATCCCTTTGAATTAGTGTTTTTGTATTCTTTGGGTAAATACCCAGTAGTATGATTTCGAGATCAGATAGTAGGGTAGTTCCGTTTTTAATTTTTTGAGGAACCTCCATACTGTTTTCCACAGTGGCTGCACCAGTTTGCATTCCCACGAACGTGCACAAGTGTTCCTTTTTCTCCACATCCTTACCAACAGCTGTTTTTTGTGTTGTTGATTTCAGCCATTCTGTGAGGTGAGATCTTGTAGTTTTGATTTGTATTTCTCTGATGATATGGTGTTGAACATCCTTTCATGTGTCTGTTGGCCATCTGTATATCTTTGGAGAAATGTCTGTTTATGTTTTCTGCACACTTTTTCTGAGATTGTTTTTTGGGTGTTGAATTTAATAAGTTCTTTATATATTTTGGAAACTAACCCTTTATTGGATATGTCATTTGCAAGTATCTTCTCCCATTTCATAGGCTGCTTTTGGTTTTGTTGATTGTTTCCTTCACAGTGCAGAAGCTTTTTATTTTGATGTAATCCAAATAGTTTATTTTTGCTTTTGTTTCCATTGCCTCAGGATACCTATCTAGAAAAAAGTTGCCATGGCCCCAGTGTTTGAGAAATTACTGTCTGTATTCTTTTCTGCTGTTTTTATGGTTTCAGGTCTTACATTTAGGTCTTTAATCCATTTTGAATTTATTTTTGTGTATGATGCAAGGAAGTGGTCCAGTTTCACCCTTTTGCATGTTGCCGTCCAGTTTTCCCATACTTGTTTTTTGAAGAAACTCTTTTTCCCATTGAATATTCTTTCCTGCTTTGTCAAAGATTAACTTACCATTTAGTTGTGGGTTCTATTCTGTCATTTTTATTCTAATCTATATGTCTGTTTTTGTGCCAGTACCATACTGTTTTGATTACTACAGCTTTGTAATAAATATAATGTGAAGTCAGGAATTGTAGTGCCTCCAGCTTTGCTTTTCTTTATCAAGATTGCTTTGGCTATTCAGGGTCTTTTGTAGTTCCTTACAACTTTAGGATTGTTCTACTTCTTTGAAAAAATGCTGTTGGCTGCTTCGTTATTGGTGGGTAGAAATGCAACAGGTTTTTATAGGTTTATTTTGTATCCTGACACTTTACTCAATTCATTTATCCGTTCTAGCAGTTTTTTGATGGAGTGTTTTGGGTTTTCTACATATTGTATCCTGTCATCTGCAAATACTGAAAGTTGTACTTCTTCTTACTGATTCCGATGCCTTTTATTTCTTGCTGTCTAATTGCTGTGGCTAGGACTTCAGTTACTATGTTAAATAAAAGTGAGAGTGGACATCCTTGTCTTATTCCTGACTTTACAGGAAAGGCTCTCAGTTTTTCCTCACTGAGGATGATGTTAGTTGTGGGTTTTTTGTATATGGCCTTTATTATGTTGAGGTATGTTCTAACACTACTTTGTTGAGGGTTTTTATCATGAATGGGTGTTGTACTTTGTCAAGTGCTTTTTCTGCATCTATTGATATGGTTATATGTTTCTTATCCTTTCTCCTATTGATGTGTGATGTATCCGGGTATCATTTGCAAATATTGAACCACCCTTGCAACCCAGGAATAAATCCCCCTTCATCATGGTGAATGATTTTTTTTTAATGTATTGTTGGTTTCAGTTTGCTAGTATTTTGTTGAAGAAATTTGCATCTCTGCTCATCAGAGATACTGGTCTGTAGGCCCCTTTCTTTATGGTGTCTTTATCTGGTTTTGATACTAGTAATGCTGGCCTCATGGAATGAATTTGGGGGCTTTCCTTCCTCTTTTTTTTTTAATAGTTTGAGAATAAATATTAAATCTTTTTAAATGTTTAGTAGAATTTGCCTGTGAAGCCATCTGGTCCTGGACCAGATGGTTTGTTGGAAGTTTTTTGATTATTGCTTCTGTCCAAATTTTCTTCCTGCATCAGTTTTGGTAGGCTATATGTTTCTAGAAATTTATCCATTTCTTCTACGACGTTCAGTTTGTTGGCATGTATTTTTTCATAATCTCTTGCATTTCTGTGGTATTGGTTGTTTTCCTTTCTTGTTTTGTGTTTTTATTTGGTTCTTTCTCTTTCTTTCTTGATAAATCTGGCTAAAGGTTTATCAATTTTATTGATATTTTCAAAGAACCAGCTCCTGGTTTCATTCATCTGTTCTTCTGTGGTTTTTATGTTTTTGTTTTTTAGTTTCTATACCATTTATTTCTGTTCTAATCTTTATTATTTCCTTCCTTTTGCTGGTTTTAGGTTTTGTTTATTTTTCTTTAGCTCCTTTAGGTTATGTTAGCTTCTAAGCTTATGTTATTTGAGATTTTTCTTGCTTCTTGAGGTAGGCCTGTGTTGGTATAAACTTCC